TGGATCTGAAAAGAAACACCTGTTTTGCCCTAAGAGCCTTGGATTCTTCTCAGGATCCAGAGTTAATCAGCAACGGAGATTTACCGGAGGAAGAGCTCGTTTCAGTTTCTACTATGCAAGGCAGTACACAGTTTTAGGCAGTGATATTCTGCCATTGCTGTAGTTTAGCAGTGGGTAATCAGAAACTAATTGAAATGTGTTAATTCTATAAATTACACAGCAGTCGTCCCCTGCAAGAATAAAGATAAAACAGGTGTAAGTCAACCTCAGTGCTCCTACTGCTCAGGGATCAAGGGCAACAGAAGGGAAGCATGACAGTGCTGGTACTGGTGCTGCCAGCAATCTGCACTGCCTCTGCGCCTGCTCGGGGGAAACCAGGAGAATCCGCTTCTGTGGTGAGGTGTTTACCAGAAGCACTCCTCAGAAACAGGTCTCAGCCAAAAACTGGTCTGAAGAGCCTGGAATTATCCACTTAGAATCCCCTCAGCCACAATGGTTCCAGCACACACAGAACAAGCAAAGGCAGAGAAGCGTGCGGGGTCAAAGCATTAGACTCTCTCATACCAAACTGCAACTTGAAATCACATTGACAGCACCACCAATTTCAGTCTGCTGCTTTGCTGGTTCGTATTCATTGGAAAGTCAGAAATCATGTCTGACCTTTCATCAACAGTCCAGTTTTGTATTTCTTGATACGAAGAATTTTGGTTTTGATTTTTTGTGTAATTGGTTTCAGCTGTGGAGGCCTGAACCTCCCTGTCTTTGCTTAAGACAGGCTTTTGCCTTGCAGGAGGGCGTCTAGCCGGGAGGCGGTGTTCTAGGGACGGTAGTGTTCCTACATTTCACAGTAGACGCTCAGTAAACTATAAGAACATTTCTGGCAGCGAGCACTGGAGACCCAGACTCTCTTTTCCCAAAGGAAAAACCTAATTGTTACCCCTAATATCAGGCTGAAGACGTTGCTCAACTTTTCAGTTTCTATAGCCTATTGATTCTGCGTTCTTTTCTGCATGATAGCAGAGCTTCAAAAAGAGGCACAAAGAGCAATTAGTGCCTAGAATATATCCCGGCAATTAGGTAGCTGCAGACTGTTTTGCTCACGCTTAGGAAGGCATCAAGCCTGACTCCGGTGTCCCGAGTGACTGATCTGCCCACTGAATTGTGATGTAAAAGGAAACACGAGGCCCTTCCCTATCTGCTCCTTAAAAGAAGGTAGGGGATCACTTCACTCCGGCACGGCCCAAGCCAAATGGTGTATGCTGGGCATGTCCTGGCAATATTTACTCAGCTGAGCCCTGAAGAAAAACATTTTGTTTTCCGATTCAGATGTGGAATGAATGTGAGCTGGGCTGCTCTTGTCAGGCTGGGGGAATTCCTAACCAGGGCATGGGCACAGCTACAGGTCCCTGGGAAGCATCAAATACGAAACTGTGGCATCTTTTGACTTACTTAACAACTGAACTGCAGTTTTAATAATAAAAACTTGGGTTTCAGTGTTTGTATTGTACTTAGATCTCATTTCTGACACCCAAGTGCATTACAATTTTGAAGTGACAGAACTCGGCCAACACAAAGCTAAAAATTGTGAAAGACACAAAACAACCCCAAACATTTTTGGATCATCAAAGTCTACATTATACAAGGCTCTGTAGTTTTTTTTCATTTGCTTAGCTAATCATTTCACGTAAAGTAAGCTTGTATGTCTAGAACAGAAGTTTCCCAATTTTTATTTTGAAAAACTTACATTTTCTTTTTTTTTGAAATACTGACTTCCGTTAGAAACAACAGTAATGGCTTTGTTTTTCAAGACCTCAAATAGAATAAGTCACACTTTGACATTATGGTTCCAATACAAAATAATGATATTCTAATGTAGAAAAACTATACAAAATGATAGCTAGTAGGAAATTAATTCTTATTTTACTTCCATTTACTGCACTTTCAAAGTTGCAGGTTTCTATAATCACAGAATGGTAGGGGTTGGAAGGGACCTCTGTGGGTCATCTAGTCCAACCCTCCTGCCGAAGC